TTCCTGCTGTCTTCTGTGGCCTGAATCTGGGTCAAGTTCAAGTTCCTGATTCCTGAGTCTCAGTGCCCGCTCCCCACATACTTTCTCAAGACTGACGTTGCAAATCCACAGCCCCTGAACTTTGGATAACAAGGCCTTGTGAAGCCTGGGCCTGAACCCTAAAGATAAGATTAACTTAGCACCCCCTTTTCTCTTTGCCAGTTGGACTTATGTCTTTATTGGCCATTCAAATGGGGCAAAGGAAATGTCCTTTTAAAACTCAAGCAAACCAGGTGTTTGTCTTGTATCCTGTCAAAGGAAACAAATTGAAATAGAGTTAGTGAAATTCTTAAGCAATTTTGTTAAGCAGTTTTAGTTTTCATAGCATAAAAAGGGGCAAGATTCTTGCCAAGAGAATGAATGTGCGTACTGAGCATATGAAACATTCTAAGAGCAGAGATAGCGAGAGAGCTTCCTAAAACGTGTGAAGGAAAATGACCAGAAAAAGAAGGAAGCCAAAGAGAAAGGGACCTGGGTTCCACTAAAGCTCCAGCCTGCTCCACCCAGAGAAGCCACTGTGTGAGAACCAATGGAAAGGAGCCTGAGCTACTGGAACCTATTCCCTATGAATTCATGGCATGATGGGTGTTAAAAATAAACTAATCTGGGAACCAGCAGTTAGCGTAATGGCTATGTCGCTGGACTCCCACGTAGTCGACCGCGGTTCGTGTCCCGGACCCGGTGGCTTAAAACTCACGCCGGGCGCGTGTGCGTGCGTGCCCAAGATCCCGAGAGGAGAATGGAGGAGAAGGGATTGCGGCGTGACCATCCCCTCTGGGGGGTGATTTCTCGCTTTCTGTCTCTATGTCTCTCTCTGTCTGTCTGGCGAGCGCACGCGCCCTACAGTGAAAATCTCTCCCCCAAAAAAATAAATAAAAAAAATAAAATAAACTAATCTGTGGTCTATAAAAAAAAAAGAAGAAGAAGACTTCACTTAGCTGTGAGAGTCAATCACTTCATTCTCAGAGGTGTCCACGTCCCGTCTAGCCCCATGGCCAAGTGGCTAAGGAAGCTGGATCCCATGGGGTCAAACATGGTTTGAAACCCAGCCCTCCTAACTGAAAACACGCCAGCCACATGTGTGTGCACAGCTCAGAGCTCAAGAGGGACAAGTGGAGAAGGGATTACAGTATGACTACACTCTACTGGGAAGTTCTCTCTCTCCTCTCTTTCTATCTCTTGCTGTCTCTTTGTCTCTTTCTGGAGAACACATCTGCCCTCTGAGAATTGAAAATAAAAAAAAAAAGATGTCTTTTTTTTTTTTTTTAGAATTATTTAATATTTTTTGTTTTTGGAAGGGGAGAGGTTTTTGCTATTGGGGGCATGCACTCGCCAGACAGACAGAGAGAAACATAGAGACAGAAAGCGAGAAATCACCCCCCAGGGGGGATGGTCACGCCGCAATCC